GGGGCAGCGGGCGGGGCGCCCCCTGGCGGCCGCGAGGAGGGCGCCTCCCCCCGGCGGCGGCGCCCGCAGGAGAAGAGAAACTTGGGAGCCCAGCTCGGCGCAAGATGCGCGGTTGCGGGTTCGGCCGCGCCTACGTTCCAGGGCAGGGTCGTTCCCCCTCTGCAACGGCCGCTTCTAGAGCGTAAATGGCTACAGAAAACACCACCGACGGGTTTTTTTTTGATACATGCGAGAGAGACACTGTAAACCAGAAAGCACCACCTCGTTTGCATATGCCGTCAGGCCTGTAGGTACCTATTGCACCTATAGATGAGCACTATTTATATGCACAAGTAACTATACAGCACGTGTGTTACATGTAGGTGTTACTATCTTACTTACAACATTGAGCAGGTAGGGTGTTTGCAGATAAATAAAACATAATGCTCCTAACACCGAGTTTAGAACATCGCCAGAGCGGCTTGACTTTCAGTCATTTCCTTAAATGACAAAAAAGTTTTACTAAGAAATTACCACCTACCTACGCTACCTGTGCTCGAGTTTCAGGCCATGTTCATCCACAAGGGTATTTTAAGCAAAGGTGAAGATATATTTAGAATCTGGGTTTTGGACAAACGCTTCAACGGAGAGAGGATTTCAGCACAAAGCATTCCCTTGCAAATATGCCTAAGATTCTTCTTACAAGTCTGGCTGGAAAATCTTTATAACCCATCCTTTGACGACACAATGCTTTTGATACACTTAAGTTACCTTCGTTCCCGCAGGATTCCCTCATTTTCCAATAAAAACATTCCTCTCTAACCAATCATCTCCGACTAAGTTCCTTACACGAAGAAAAAATATTCAGTAAAACAAATACAACCTCAACTCGCCTTGAAAGACAAAACCCTCGGTAAGTAACAGCCTAACCACGAACAGTGGCGGAGCTTACCTCTTCAACTGTCAAAGGCATACAGATCCGGTACTCCTTCATGAGCATATTCCTGCTGCCTCAGTGCGGACCAGCAAACTGGGAGAAAAGTGGTTGTTTCTGCACGATGATCACGACGAAACCCAGTCACGGGAGAAAATACTCAAGCCTCCTTCTCTGTACGCGCTTGACAATGTGTCCACAAGAGAGTAATGCAACCATCCAGGAAGGCTGACCCAGCAAGAAGAAAAACCCAACACAACTGCTCCTTTCTTCCAGTTCCTCCTTCAGACTGCGATCATGGGAATTTCACACACGCTCGCACCGATAGACGCTACCAAGTCTCAAACCCCGAACACTATCGCTACAGCCAAAGACATCCGTCGGAAGTGTACGAAAACGGCAGTCTCTCGCAGCTATGTCAAGACATGCCTGGGGCGGCGAAAAGAACAAATGAGCCGAAAAAAACCGCGGCTTTCCACCACCGCCGGCAGCACGTCGGGCGGCAGGAAAGATGAGATGCTGATTTCCAAGACAAAGGCTTTTTTTATAACGTTTCCTTCCCCGGCTGCCGAACGCGGCTCCCACCTCCCCACCGCAACGCGGCTGCGGCCGCCGCGGCTCCCGCCTGTGCTCGCTGGCGGGGCGGGCTAGCGCGGCGATCCGGCCGGCCGCGGCTT